TTTTGTCATTGTATCTCAATAGAAAATATTAATTTTTAAATATAAGTTGTTGTAAAATAATTTTCAAGTAAATCTTATTTTCAAACAAACCATACATGATACATTCTCATCATATTCTTTTAACATATCTTTTAAATATATTGAATTATCAATGTCTTCTTCATTCATCTTATGTCAATTTGTCGTGGACAAAAATGATCTCTTGTAATGGTCTCACAGAACTATACCAAAACAACCATTTCAGTTGAAAAAAAAAAACCTCCATTTCAATATCCATTCACATATATGGGGAACTTAATTTTGCTTAAAAAATTATAGTGAATGCAACCTCCGAAAAAATATATAAATATTATTATAGAATAATTTATGATACTTATAGACCATTAAATTCAATATATTTTGTAAAAAAATCATCATAAAAATATAAAGATTTTAAAATTATTGAAATATTCAATAATTTGATTTGCAATAAGTTGAGTAAGTTTGAAATCATTGGTATTTTGAAATCATCGAGATATTTTTTCCGTTGCAGCGTTGATGTAATAATAATAGTACTTCAGTTCACATTTAATGTTTCCCCCTTCTTGTTTTCCTTCGAGAACGTTGTGGCGTGAAGAGCAAGTTTGATTGATTGTTTATGCAGTTTCACTTGTTTTTATTTTTTGAGCAAAATGCAGTTTCATTTATCAAACCATCATTTTTCCGTTCGGGAACTACACATACAATTAGTTTAGCGAGTTGTTAAAATAATTCAATTTATTAAATGAAGTTATTTTTTAAATTAAATCACAGTTGCGTGGAGAATACGCCCGTACATATCATTTATAAATATCAGTTTTGCAGGAAGCTACTTTCAGTCACCTCCTCCTCTACGCTAATTCCATTCCCTCCGCTCTTCCATTGCCTGGGTACTCTAAAGCCTCTCTTTAATCTTTCCCATGCGAAGGCACTATCGTAAGGATTGCTAGGGTTTGCATCTATGAAAGCATTTGGCTTCTCAAAATTTGGCATCAGTTTTGAACAAGAGCCGAGGTTTGTTGTTTTTTATTCTTCTTTTTCCGTCTTTTTCTTTCTACCCGAAGTCTGGAAATGGTCCATGTCTTATTTGCCGTTAACTGCTCCTCTCGAATCTGTACGTACTTTAGTCGTCATCTTGTTTTTAGTGAACTATACACACACAACGATCCTCGTTTGCTTTTTTCTGAGAGCATGGAAGTCGATGGCTCGAATTTGTTGCTTTATTAAATTTTAAGTGATGTCCTTGTTTTTTACCGGGTAGCTTTGTTGAAATCTTTCTGTCGTTAATGAGTGAAGAGTGTAACGCGGCTGTCACCGATGGACTTGGTGTTGTTTCGTTGATCTTCTGTCTGCATATTGATTGTCCGTTGATGCTACTAACGAAGATGGAACTGGCCCCATTTATACATCAGCGCGGAAACTGCATGTTTCCCAACATTTTGAAATTGTTGTCTGATAGCATAGCAAGTGCGGTCGAGAGCGCGAGTCAAGTGCACGCACGTGACTGCAGTGCATTGATTCATAATATATGGAAAACATTGATCCCGGATTCTTTCTAGCGTGGCCTCTTTTCTTGTGCAGACATGATTCGGTCTGAGGAAATAATTACAGTAGGTGCCGTTACTTTTAGTAAGCTTAAGGTGTTTTTTATTAAGTTTATATTATGGTTAATTGCCCACTTTTCGTTCCATTACCTCTATATTTTTATTCTATTTCTATCAAACATTTATTAAAAAACTTATTCTTATTTCTTTTCCTTTTTATCAAACATATTTTAAGTTACAAAATTCTTTTCTATCCTGCTCTCTATTCTCATTCTATTCAAAACAAAATCTTTTCATTCAACCGAATATTGCCTTGCGTGTGGTTTTTGGCCCTTTGAGGCCTCCCTCGTTTAATTCACGATTGCTGCAGTGTTTTAGATATTTTTGTAACTATTTTTCATGATCTTTTTAACTTAACCCAAATCTACCCTCCTTTTTGTACTTCCCCACATACCATGAACCGTGCATTTATCTCATTTTTAAAGCTTGTAGCATTTGAACTACAAATTTAATGGTTTTACATCCTCTGAGCACACCAACTGTTACTTTGAAGTCAACACTGATGCTTTTACATCCACTGGGAGGGGTGAAAGTAGGCCATTGACAGTTGATTATGATGTTCAGCGCTGATCAAGAGACATGTTTTTTGACGTGAGATTTTGCCTTAAGTTGGAACCTATTGTCTGCTAAGGCCTTGATGATCCTGTACAGGTGGAGGTTCAGGGTTGCTTGTTGAATTTGGGGGAAATGAACATTCAAGTGGGCGATGAACTGATTAATCCTAAAGGAGCTATCGTGACATAGTAGGGAGTATTCCCTTCTATTTCTCACAGATTACGATGTAGCCCTTGGTCGACTCTCGAATTGCCAATGGGATACAGAGTTCTGTGTGCTTCTTTATTGTCGTTTCCCCAAATTTCTCAGGAAACCCTATCCTCATTTGTTTTCGGGGTGCATCATAGCTTATATGGACGTTATGGTTATCAACGGGGCATGCTCTCGTGCAGTGCACATGATCCTCTGGTTTGCTTGAATTTTCATGTCTTGTTGTCTCTGGCTGTGCTTTAAGTCATGTACTGTATGTGACCACTCTACCCAGAGGCTTGACTTTTTCCCACCTCACTTAGAAAGGTAAACAAGGTTTGGAGCGATCTCTAGTCCATGGACATGGTGTGCGTTTTCATCCCTTCGGCTTTCTTTACCAAAGCCCAACGATTTATCCCACTTGTTGATGAATTTTGATAGCTCCGATGATGTAAACATAATCTATTTTTCTTTCCATTACTTCTCTAATTTTGTTCTATCAAACATTGATTTGAAAACTTATTCTTATTTCTTTTCCTTTTCATCAAATATATTTCAAGTTACAAAATTCTTTTCTAGTCTGATATCAATTCTCATTTTGATTCTATAATCCCACCTCTAATTGGAAGTGTGTGTGGAAAGTAAGAATGAGAATTACATGCTTTATCTCTGGTAAGATGAGTTCTTTGAAAAGTCCATATTTCACAAAAAAGAAAAGAGAGATATATATTTTTGTTTTGGATAGGAAAATGTTATTTAACAATCTTGTCCTTTACACGTCGTTTTCATCCCTTTTCTCCTTTTGGTCCAGGTCCTTTGAATCTTTGGAAAACATTTATCTCGAATCTTTTCTGGCGTTGCCTTTTCTCTTGTGCAGGCATGATGCAGTGGGCGAATCAAATGGAACCTAAGTAAAGTTTGGAAGAAAGTATTGCTCATCGATGCATTTGGTTTTGAAGAAATAATAGGATCTTCAATGGTGCCACTGCTAATACTAGGTACTAGCAGATCGAGATAGGAAACTATGTTAATTTAAAGTCCTTGGGAACTTTTGTCATAGCAAAATCATAGGGCATTTATGTTGGGAAGATGTGATGCAGATTTTCTATCAAAAAGTGGATGGGAATTTTCTGTTCATGCTGGAGACAAAATATTTTGGTTTCTTTTCTTATTTACTAAATGTATTTTAAATTGCAAAAATCTATTCTATTCTCATCTTTATTCTCATTTTCACTCCATTAAAAATCTTTTCATTCATTTTCATAAAAAAAAAAATCTTTTCATTCAGCCAAAAATGACCTTAGATGTGATTTCTAGCCTTTGTGGTCTCCCTCGTTTGATTGCTATATTTTTCATGATATTTTATTATCTTAAATCTCCTATATAAAAAAAATTATAATTGTTAAATTCATCTCAATTGTAGAAACTGGTAAGATTTGGAATGCAAATTTAATGGCCATAAAGGCATGAATATTTGTATTAGTAATTTATCAATTATATTTACATTACATCATAACTCAAGTTAAATAATCGATATGTACCCTTCAGAGTTGCATTTCAATTGTTTGCTAATCACTGTTGTTTTGCCATAATTGTGGTTTGTCTTCGTGACACTGCATAAGCATGGAGGAAGCATCAATGCTTCTACATCCTCTGAGCACGCCGTCTATTACTTTGATGTTAACACTGATGCTTTTGAAGAGGTTTTAGACAGTTAGATCCCACAGTTGTGGTTTCCTTCATTTATTATTTCTTATGATAATTTTCTTATGGAAGATCTGATGTTTGGCCATGGTTTGCGTGCCAGATTTGCTCAGTTCTTCACTAAACCATTGATGTCTGTTGATACTACGACAAGGAAAATTAAAGCTGTTGACTGTGGTTAGCCAATTTTTTTTTTTAAATATTGTCTACTGTTTCGAGCTGACTTATTCTGTGGTAGGATATTTAACTTGTAGTTAGTAATAATGATGAACTTGGAAGCCTATGATCTTGTGATTCAGGAACTTAAAGATACTGTGTATATCCTCACTTCAAGGTCGTAGGTTGGGAATCACAATGATCTTGTCTTTTTATTTAGTAGGCTGTGGTTATTTTTTCATCCTCTAAGTTGAAACTTTCATGACATATGACTTTTTAATTAATGTATAAATATTACCACAATGGTGAGTTGTTTTTAAAATAAGAATATGTGTATGTGTATATTATTTTATGTTAGGTTACAGTAATGAAAAGTGATTTTTAGATTTTATGATATCTTTGTGGTCCTCAATTTATAAAAAAAAATTTACTATTTAGTAATTTTAAAATTTTATGATGTTTTTACGTATCTCCACATTTTTATGGCATTCTTTCTCATATAACTTCGGATTATTTTCAACAGTTATTCAAAATAGCTTTTCAAAATAATTAAAAATCTATTTTTTTTTTAGTTTCTGATTATTTTTAGAAGTGTAAGCAAACATTATAAAATTTTACAAAATGGATTTAGTTTCAAAAAAATATGTCCCTTCACATGGAACAAGTTTAAACAAACGGCCCATATCAAGTAGGGAAAGGAAGTTAGGACTTTGCATTTGTTGATGTGTTTCGATTGCTTGAACTTTATGGGAAAGGGAATTTCTTTTTGACTGATAGTGCGTGCCTTATACAACTGTTATTAGTTGTTTTTAGTGGTGAGGATGGCATGACCATGTTCTTGTGGCAATTGGATACAAGGTTGATGCGTTTCTTGGCTCTAAGGGACATAGGTCTCCGGAAAGGTGAAAGTAGGCCATTGGCAGTTGATTACGATGTTCAGCGCTGATCAAGAGACATGTTTTTTGACGGGATATTTTGTCTCAAGTTGGAACCTATTGTCTGCTAAGGCCTTGATGATCCTGTACAGGTGGAGGTTCAGGGTTGCTTGTTGAATTTGGGGGAAATGAGCATTCAAGTGGGCGATGAACTGATTAATCCTAAAGGAGCTATCTTGACATAGTAGGGAGTATTCCCTTCTATTTCTCACAGATTACGATGTAGCCCTTGGTCGACTCTCGAATTGCCAATGGGATACAGAGTTCTGTGTGCTTCTTTATTGTCGTTTCCCCAAATTTCTCAGGAAACCCTATCCTCATTTGTTTTCGGGGTGCATCATAGCTTATATGGACGTTATGGTTATCAACGGGGCATGCTCTCGTGCAGTGCACATGATCCTCTGGTTTGCTTGAATTTTCATGTCTTGTTGTCTCTGGCTGTGCTTTAAGTCATGTACTGTATGTGACCACTCTACCCAGAGGCTTGACTTTTTCCCACCTCACTTAGAAAGGTAAACAAGGTTTGGAGCGATCTCTAGTCCATGGACATGGTGTGCGTTTTCATCCCTTCGGCTTTCTTTACCAAAGCCCAACGACCATAAGACACTATCTATTTTTATCCCACTTGTTGATGAATTTCGATAGCTTGGATGATGTCAACATAATCTATTTTTCTTTCCATTATTTCTCTAATTTTGTTCTATCAAACATTTATTTGAAAACTTATTCTTATTTCTTTACCTTCTCATCAAATATATTTCAAGTTACAAAATTCTTTTCTAGTCTGATATCTATTCTCATTTTGATTCTAGTAAAAAATATTTTCATTCAACCAAATTTTGCAGGGCGTGTGGCTTTTGACCCCTTGAGGCCTCCCTTGTTTTAATTCATGATTGCTGCGTTTCTACTTTCCCGGCCTCCACACCATGGACAATAAATTTATCTCAATTTTTAAACTAGTAACATTTGAACTACAAATTTATTGCTTTTACACCCTCTGAGCACACCAACTATTAATTTGAAGTTAACACTGATGCTTTTGATGAGGCTTTAGATGGGTAGATACCACTGTTATGATTTCCTTGATTTCTTACGGTAATTTCCTTGTAGAAGATTTCAGGTTAGGCCATGGTTTGCCTTCCAGATTTGCTCAGTTCGCCATTAAGCCATTGATGTCTTCTGATGCTATCAGAAGGGAAATTAAAGCTGTTGACTCTGGCTAGCCAATATTTCATAAAATTGTCCCATGTCTCAAGCTTTACCCCCTAGCTTCTCATCTCTATACTCTACCTTGCTCCTTTTCAGAGAAAGTCAAAAGAACCTATTATCTGATGCTTTGAGAAAGGACTAGGTGTATTGCCTTTCTGGAGTCTGTAGGGGTGCATAGTAGAAAATGGTAGAAAAGCAAAATATAAAATTTATCTAGTTATGACGCGTCAAATTTTATGGAGTTTTGAGTGAAATATCTCTTATTCGTTTTGGATGAAAAACATTATAGTATTAATGATCATTTCATGTATCAAGGGATCTCTTCATGACTTAACATTCTAAAGTGAGTGAAACATCTCTTAATTTCAACGCTTAAAATATTTTGTTCGGGGCAGGTTGAAAACACGATTTCCCGATAGCTAAAGGAGTTCCCATGACGTGCATGCGTGAGTTTATTTGTTCAGTTACTTTAGTTTTGCTGCATCAATAAAACAACTAAGACGTGAGGCCAGTCCCTTTTTAGCAGCTTTACTTTTTATGGGTCTTTGCCTCAAGGTTCCACTTTCTTTAATTAATCTGGCCACTGGTTTCATTTGTGTGTGTTCTGTGACTTATAGTAGGTTCTGAAGTGACTTTAGTTGCTGTGTGTCGGATTGCAATGGGACCGATTGAGACTAAGTTTACTGTTACTGATGTCTTGGGGCCTAATGAAATCATTTGGACCATTTTCTTTGTCAATGTAATAGGGGAGAATTTTTTAGCCTCTAAACTGTGCTGGATGCCAGAAGGACCTAGTGAGGAGGAAACTGTTCTCTGTGAAGTTAGTAGTCAACCATGCTTGGTGGGATCATTGTTTGTAATATTCAACCTTTTTTCTAGAACAATCTTAATTAATGTCATTTTGAGCTTATTAATGCTAAAAGAAATAATTCTGATCTTTAATGCTTGTTCCTATGTATTTGAGTACTTTACTGAAGGATCTTTCTCTGGAGCTAGTTGAAGTGCTTCTCATCGGCGATCCTGATACTGATAAGTTTGAATTATCTCCTGACGTTGCTCTGTGTTTTGAATTCAAGTTCTTTATCTTTGTTGCTGTGATTTAACCAGTGTTCTGCTTACATGGACGTTTGTGTCGGCTCCAAACGGTCTCGAAGGCTTTGAACATTTCCCTGGTAAAGTTTGACTTTTTGAGCAGGTCGTTGTGTCTGCTTACATTTATAATTTCATATGCATCGCACAACTTCGATAGCTTTCGTAAGAAGAGTTCTTTGAAAGCCTAAAATAATTTTTTATTTTTTTCTTAAAATATTTTTATTAAGATTACCATGTTTTTGTTGCTCATTTTTAATTCTCATGTTTTAGGCAAAAAAAAAAAAGAAAATCTCATGTCTATTTTTATACTATCAAGCATATATTTTACATCGCAAGATTCTATTCTATTCTCATCTTTATTCCTATTTTCATTCTATTAGATATCTTTTCGTTCCACCAAATATGGTCTTACAACAGGGCCTCACTCATTTTGCCAATTTCTATTTTCTTTGAGAGAGTTTTGTAACGGCCTTTCTGGATATTTTATTGTTAACCCAAATCTAGCTTCTTCTTGTACTACTTTTCCCCAACTCCCATGTTTATTAATAAAAGTTGAAGACATTAAATTTATCTCAATTTTAAAACTGGTAACATTTGAGCCACAAATTTAATGTCTCGGTCTAATTATTTTAGTAATTTATCAATTATACTTACGCCATAACTCAAGTTAAAGAATTTATATTTACACCAACCATTACTTTGGTGTTAACATTGGTGCTTTTGAGGAGGCTTTAGACATGGTGAGCCCACTGTTGTGGTCTCCTTCATTTCCTATTTCCTGTGATAATTTTCTTTCACAAGATCTGATGTTAGGCCATGGTTTGTCTTCCAAATTTGCTCAATTCTTCATCGAATCAATTAGATCTGCTGATGTTACCATGAGGGAAATGATTCTATATGGCATATTGAAATTTAATTTATATGGTATGTTGCATTTTGATATTTTAAAGGGAAAAAAGGGTGATTGGCTTACGGGGCGGATCTTTTTTTGTGGGATGGGTCTTGTAAATAGGAGCCCCCTGTATAAAATGGGGCCTAATGTGTTTCATAAAATAGAAAAAAAGGGGGGGTATATTTTTTATTGGAAAGTCAGAGGAGTTATTTGACAATCTTTTCCTTTACATGTGGTTTTCATCCCTTTACCCCTTTAGGTCCCCTTCCTTTGAATCTTTGGATGACATTAATCTTGAATCCTTTCTGGCGTAGCTTTTTCTCTCGTGCAGACATGATGCAATGGGCCAATCAAATGGAATCCAAGCAAAGTTTGGATGAATGTATTCCTCATCGGTGTATTTGGCTTTGAAGAAATAATGGGATCTTCAATGGTGCCAATACTAGGCACTAGCAGATCAAGATAGGAAGCTATGTCAAATTAAAGTCCTTGGGACGTATGGGATTTATGTTGGAAAGAAACGATTTAGATTTTCTATCAAAAAGTGAAGGGGAAGTTACTGTTCATGTTGGAAATACAGGTTAGATGACTAAAATTCACCATAATTTTTTATGTGTATAGTTTAAGATATTTTACTAAGGTTATCATGGTCAGTTGCTCATTTTTGTTTCCCAATGCTTTCTCTATTTTTATTCTACCAGTGCGACTAATAAAAAACTGTTCTTATTTCTTTTCCTATCTTCTATATATATTTCAAATTACAAATCCTATTCTACTCTCTTTTATATTCCCATCTCCATTCTATTAAAAATCTTTGCATTCAATCAACCACGGACGTGAAGAATACGTACAATCATCTATAATTGATTTTCCATTTTTGACCGATTGATTGTAGTTTTATTTATCACACCATGTCATGCTTCCGTTGTGTTTCAATTTTAATTTTGTTTTAGTGAGTTTTGTTTCAATTTTAATGCCTGTAGCTGTAATTAACTTATTTCCAATCACCATTCACCTTCCCACCTGATTGATTGATTCTGCAGTCTTGTTAATAATATCATCTGCAAATAGCATCAGTTGCCTTTGTAGGGTTTGCTGTGAAGGGCGCTGCGAGTAGGCAATGAAAGGTAGAACTGGAGGTATTTTTGTCGATGTATTTGGCTTTGGAAATCTTCATTCTATATACCAAACATGAAAGCATGGCTTTCATGTTGTAAAGATCTGGGATATGGCCCGTGTCTTTCCATAAAAAATGGATGAATATTTGCTTCTCAGGTTGGAAATACTAGTAAAATGACTAATCCATCCTAATTTTTTAATATTTAGTTTAAGATATTTTCATTATTTTTTATTAAGGTTATTATGGTCAGTTGCTCTTTTTAGTTCCCATTACCTCTCTATTTTTATCCTATCAATCAAATATATAATAAAAAATATTTTTATTTCTTTTCTTATTTACCAAATATATTTTAAATTGTAAAATTCTCTCCTATTCTCGTCTCTATTCTCATTTTCGCTCCATCAAATGTGATTTCTAGCCTTTGTGGCCTCGCTTGTTTGATTGCTGTATTTTTCGTGATATCTTATCATATTAAATCATGTGCATAAAAAAATTATAAATCTTGAATTCATCTCAATTTTAGAAACCAGTAACAATGCAAATTTAATGGCCTAGAATATTTGTATTAGTAATTTATGAATTATATTTACATTTTTTATATCATCCAATTATATTTACATTTTTTATCTACAAAATTAATGACGGTCTAAATTTTTAATTTCTTAATTTCTTTAAGAAAAGTTGCGTGAATGCTACTCTATTCTAGTACTATTTAATTGTGAGATGGTGCTTGGACCATTATTCCACTGTCGTCTGAGCATTGGTTTTACAGCTATGCGAAGAAACGGCATCTGTTCTAATACTACGTCTGATGCGAGGTCATCATCGTCTGACAGTTTGAAGAAATGGCAGGTTTTGCAGCGATAGCCTCTTCGTCCCTCGTTTGTACAGTGCTGGGTTTTATTATTCATCAACCTCCTTTCCACTCCTTTTTCTTTCCATTCTAATTTTCAAAGTGGTAACTGCTGCAACCTCTTTTGCTGTTTCTGTGACATGTTTGTTTTGATGCTTGTAAATAGTTTCCCCGCTAATACTGGCAAAGATGGAAAATGGCCCATCTTAAGATCCATTTAGAAACTTCATGCATCCCAAACGTCGCAAAACCCTTGCTGCGGTTGACAATGATCAATGAACAATATATTCCCAACTAACAAATCACGAACCTTGAGAGGGCTGAATTCGTCTGATCGGCACTGCTTGCGCGTGGTGAAAGTCGAAAGCACGAGTCGCACGCTACATGACTGCAATGCAGGGACTCGTGTCGCGGATGTGATGCAATGGGCCAACTAATGGAATCTAAGCAAAGGTAAAATGAAAAGAATTGAGCAGGGGGTCGCTCTTGCAATTATTTGTCAGTGTATCTGGCCTTCTAATAAATAATAATGGGGTCTTCTATTGTGCCCATACTAGCAGATCAGAGGCTCTGTCGAATTAAGGCCGAAGCTGTCAATGGTAGCTTAGACTGGAGACACAAGTGGGATATAGTCTCGGCGGCTGCCGTGGGATAATCCGAAACCATAAGGGCAACATGACGCGGAGGTTTTGTGTTATTTATCCCGCTAAATTGATTATAATTTTTAAGAATCTCATTGAATCCCCTTTTCATTGTCTCTCGTTTTAGTCTTCTGGGACTAACAGATAATATTTGTGTCGACGTTGGGGCTTAATTTACAGATGACCGTCCAGAAATCAAAAATATATCAGCGAACATGAAAAATAGTTATTTTAATATATTCAATCGTAGAATTGTATTTTTTAAATTATAAGATTTTAATATTGATTAAAATATTTTTTTCAGCTAAATTTTAGCTCTAATTCTTTAAATTTATCTAAAATTTTATGAATTATTTTCTTAATTTGTTTATTAAAGCATCATTTAATTTTATCAAAAAAACTTTTGCATTAAATTTTTAAATATTAACTAAATATTATGAAATATTAATATAGTAAGTTTATTTTTTAAAATAATAATGATTGATAAAAATAATTATTTAAGCTCAGTGATATTTGAATTAAAGGGTTGAAAATATATTGTATAAGATTAAAAATAAAATATTTTTAAGCATCAAAATTCAAAATACACTTTAACTTTTTTGTTTGGTTAATTAAAAAAGGTACCCTCTCCCCCACGCGAACAACAATCAGAAAAGTTGCAGTTTTGTTCGAGGATGAAAGATTAAATGATGGATTTTGATTGTTCCTGTGCCTGATATTTGAGTACTAGAGGAATTGTGGAGAATGCAGAGTTGCTGAGTTGGAAGAGAAATGAAATGTTGCTGTCCACTTGGCTGCCAGCACGTTTCTCTCTTGGGATTGAGAGGAAGTGACAGAAGAGAGAAGAGAGGAAAGAAGCGACTACAAATTGACGATGGCGGTGGGGAAGGAAGAGGTAGATATTTTTAAAGCTCGCTCGGACAAGAGGGATTACAGAAGGATCGTTCTTCGAAACTCACTTGAAGTGCTTCTCATTGCGATCCCAATATCGATATGGTTGAATCTTCTCCCAATGTTGTTTTCTATTTTGAATTCTAGTCTTTTTTAAATTATCTGTGTCTGTTATTTTTCTAGTGTCGACTCCTTCAATGATCCAGACAGTCTTGAAGGCCTTGCCCATTTCTTGGGTATAGTTTGACTTTTTGATGCGGTCATCGGGTTTTGTTAAATTTTTTATACTTTGAACGACGTCGATTGTGGGGGAAGGGTCTTTCCTTTTCGGTTCAAGATGGGGGAAGTGGTGGGAAAAGGAGGTAAGGAAAAGGAGAGGCACCTTCCCCCCTCCCCACCGCCCACAAAAACGCCGGCAGCGGCTACTACTTTGATAGCTTTTCAGTTTTGAATATTTTTATTTTGCTTGCTGCGTTGGTAAAAACTCGGTGTTGTTGGAGAGTTGCATGTTCCAATATACTTTAAAATTAAAATTACTTTCTGCATGAATAATCAATAATTGCCGCCCAGCTATTGTCAAGTTGACTTTAACAATAGATGGCTTCCCACCCAAAGAGAGACAAGAAATAAGGAGAATGATAGACCTAATCTGGTTAGCAAGAATTCAATTTATATTTTAACATAGATTGCTCACCTTAAGGGCGCTTTATCTGAGGATGTGATGGGAATGCTACTTATTTAAAAAATTATAACCTGATGATCAGTTGATTTTTGTTGCTTGCAGAGCACATGCTGTTTTATGCCAGTGAAAAATAACCCGTAGAAGATAGCTACTTCAAGTATATTACTGAGGTAAATGCTGCTATTATTTTTTTTGACTAACGCTAGATGAGTAGGACCACCGGAGGTGCTCAAGTATTGGGTTAATGCTATCATAATTTTTAGATACCTGAGACTGTTTAATTCCTAGAGCTACTGTAGAATTTCCTATTCAGTTTAGTACTTTAATGCCTTTTTTGTAATTTTATTTGTAATTGTATGAAATTGGAGAGACTAAAGGAAATATTTGATCTCTCATAAGGCTTTTGAAAATTACTGAAAAGTTTTACAGACCTGAGGCAAGTTAGAGCTACTATTACTTTTTGGGAAGCCTTGATATGGAATGATGAGCTTATTGTATTTCCTTGATCAACGTATTGAGTTCTAATAATGATTTAAAGTTGTAAAATGATGAACTGAAAGGCAAGTTCATGCATCTAATAAAGCTTCTAACATTATAATTGATTATAAAAAATCTTCAAGCTTTGGATTGTAATTAAACTTGTTAATATATTTATTTGTGATTGATATATGCAAATGTCCCAAGAGGGGGGTGAATTGGGCTAATTGAAAATTTAAATAAAATGCGGTAATAATAAGTGAGATGAAGGAACGAAATCATCAATCACGAGAGTAGAAGGAATGGAGCTTGACATAGATGATTATAAGTCTCTGAAGACTTTGCTCTGAATCTGTTGAGTCTAGGCAAGGCATTTCTTGGTCTTCTCACAACAGGTTAACCTTTATGCTTGCCACTTCCCGAATCTTCAACAATGCTTTTATCTAATCCACTATCTTGAACCTTGCTGTCTGCCTTGTGAACTGACTTTGCATCACACTTCTCCCTCTTTTCGTCATCAACAAAAGGCTTGGACAAATTAACAGGAACAAACAAGTTGGATGAAGGCATATAAGATGAAGAAGTACCACTTTCAATCCAGATTAGTTTGTTCTTGAACCTTGGTAGAGGCTTGAACACTGCACCAAATTTCAATATGGTAGTGAATGGTGTGGGAAACAACACAAAATTAAGATTTCTCTTGATTAAGTCTTGAAAGGCTTTAGTATAGTTAACACCAAAGAAGAATGGAGTAGAAGGTGAGGATGACTGTATAGACTCTTAAGTCTTCCTCATCATTAGATATCTTAATATACTCTCTGGCAATCTTGGCCACAACCAGTGCTAGCTTGTTGCTTTCTGAAGCATGTGACTCAGCTCCTTTTGAACTATCTTCAAACATGGCTCTTAGTTCAGAATTAATAGAGAAAACTGGTCCAACCCTCAGATTCTCAATCTTAAAGGGTATTTGTAAGTCACTATCAATGGTTGTCCCAATCTCTTTCTTTAAAGTAAAGGTGCTGGATGTGTGTACTAACACAAAATCCTCATGTAAAAGAACACTAACATTCTTTTGGAAAGAGACACAGTAGGAGTACCCATTCTAAAAGGAGAATAGTGCTCGGATGAGTCTCTTGGTCTTGAGCTCTCAGCAAGCCAATTTCTTCCTTAAATTCTTCTCTAATTTCTTTAGAGGCTTTCTTCAATTTCTTATCGAAATCTTTAACTTATCTTTTAAGACACTAGGTGAAAAGCTCAGCTTGAATCTTGAATCTCCTATCCAACCACTTGACAGTATCTGAATCAAGATATACTCCTTGTGATGATGGTGGGACAGATGAATCATTCTGAGTTAGTTGAGAATCTTATCTGCCTTGAGCACTATGAGCAGCTACTTAATGAGCTTCACTCTGGGCACCACCTCCTCCTTCTTTAATGATCTCCATATTTCTCAAAGTCACAGAATTGATCTCCTCATTTCCCAATACTTTATTGCCTTCTAGGTACATAATCTTCTAATCTTCCAGCATTTTAGAAATTATATTTCCATAGATGAGATATTTTCCATCTCTTTTTTTGCTCAGCTGGACTAAGTTCTTGATCTTTTCAAAGATAATGGAGGCGACATCAAATTTAAATCCTTTGATTAAAGCAATTAGAAACCTCAAGTCCTCAGTGATAAACTTATTTACCCCAATTCTTTTTCAAGTAATTGACCTTAACAGAATGTGGTAGATTACTCTATGAAGTGTTGGCATAGACTTGGGCTTTTCTACTAGACCGGTGCTTTCTTCCCAAGTTGGCACTAGTGTTGTGAACATGACTGACTTCTCATAGGATAGATTTGATAGCCTCATCAACCTCTCATTAGTTGGAAAATCAAGAAAGGTGTTGAGATAGTCTTCTGTAATGTCAAAAGACTTCCCTCTCACTGCTACTCTTAGCACCTCACCATTGTGCAGAACTTGTAGAGAATTGTAAAAAGCTTTTACAACTTCTAAACTTACTACCATGTTGAGCTCCAATAGTATCTTGTAAGGCTTCATCATTTCCATGACATCATATCCCTTCTCTTTGAGCTCTGTGAGGTTGACAATCCAAGATTTACTGACTTCTTTTCTGGTCATTTTCAATGCCAAGCATGGAATCTATTTAGTGTGGAGTGAGTCAAAGCAGAAGCTAGCAAAATCATTACTCTCATTTGATGCCTCAATGATAGGAGCTTTTCCTTTTCTCTTCCTCTGTTCTTCATGGATTCCAGAGTGAGGTTGGCTAGGCATTGTACCCTCGGGTGTTCTATCGAAGCAGATTGAATCATGTTCTTAGCCTTAGCTTTCTTTGTTGCTCTTTGTCCTTTTCAAGTAGTCCTCGGCTTCTTAGGAGTGAGTTGAGATGGACCAGTAGTTCTCACTTGTTCTTTATTGAGAGATTTTGTCTTCATTCTTTCCTTTCTCTTTCTAACTTTTGCAACTTACTTTGATTTATTCATTACTTCATTGAGCTATTGAGACTTGGATTTCCTCATCTAGACCCAACTCTCTTAACCACAATATCTCTAGCTTAGAAGAAATCAGATACAGAGAGTCCTCAAGCTTTCAGAGCTTCTTTAGTCATTTTTCTTCAAGCGGGCTTCATCAAGGATTAGTTAGTGTTTATTAGAATTTTGAATGGAGACAATGGTGTAAATTTGATAGTAGAATGATCGGGTTTACAGGAGAAATAGTTATGAAGAGGGAGTATGCGAGAGGAGAGTAGCTCCGGCGGTTTTAGGGCCAAATAGTGAACTGAGCGAGAAAGCACATTGACAGATATATATATATATATAGATATAGCACCGGTGTTAACCTCAAAATATTGAAGTTTAACGATTACTTCATTTAAAGATGTGAATCAATTTGGGCTTATCCATGCTAAGTCATTTTAAGGTGTCATACTTATCTCTTGAAAAAGTTAATAACTTTGAAGTGGTTTTCATAGCATTGATGTTAAATAGCATAGCACTGGTGTTACTATCAAAGTTTGCTTTTTGCAATATCTCAGAATAACTATTAGTACTGGTGTTAAACTTTTAACACCAGTGTTATATAGTTTTATAACACCAATAGAAAATTTTTTTAGACAGAGACCTGCACTTTCAAATTACCACTTTAATGCCTAAGTTAGAATACATAATTAAATAGATTAAAAAGAATGAGTAAGAAGAAGAAATTACTTGCAATTTGTTAAGATTTAACAGACCCAACTCTCTTTTTATGAATACGAACTGTTCTGCTCCTAGAGGTTTTGTGAAGATATCAGCAAGTTGTAGATTAGTAGGAATGAATTCTATAGTGACATCTTTCTTTCGAACATGATCTCTGATGAAGTGATGACGTATGTCAATATGCTTAGTTCGAGAATGGTGAATCAAATTTTTAGTCAAGCATATTCTATTGGTATTGTCACATTTGATTGGAATATTCTTGAACTTGATTTTAAAGTCTTCAAGTTGCTACTTCATCGATAAGATTTAAGAACAACACAATCTGTGGAATTTTCAGAGAGGAAAAAATTGCATTGTCTCATTGCAATTCTAATGTACACACTGGTCTTATATATATACATCAAGAGAGATAAAAGCTAATAAATACTAATAAAGCCTAATTAACGAGATCCTAATAAATGCTAATAATTCTCAATAATAACATAAGCTAATAAATACTAATAAAGCCTAATTAATGAGATCCTAATAAATGCTAATAATTCTCAATAATAACATAATATTCCCACACTCCCCCTCAAGTTGGTTCATAGATGCTAATCATGTCCAACTTGCTTATACAACTCTCAAATGCAGGCTTGGGTAGTCCCTTGGTTAGTACATCCGCAGCTTGTAACTTTGTAGGTAGGTATGTCAGACATACAATACCTCCTTCTACTTTCTCTCTGATAAAATGTTTATCCACTTCAACATGTTTAGATCTCTCATGCTGTACAGGATTCAATGCCACGCTTATAGCAGCCTTATTATCACAATACAATTTCATTGGTGGATCAACTCTGACTCCATAGTTCTTCTGTAATTCCTTGAGCTAATGCTCTCAATTCTGATTCAGCACTGCTTCTGGATACAACTCTTTGCTTTTGACTTTTCCAGGTTACTAAGTTTCCCCACACAAATGAACAATAGCCAGAGGTGGATCTCCTGTCTCCATAAGTCCCCCCAGTCTGCATCAGTGTAAATCTCAATTGTCCTTTGATCATACTTCTTGAATAACAATCCCTTACTAGGTGTACCCTTAAGGTATCTGAGAATCCTATATACAGCTTCTAGGTGTCTCTTCCTTGGATCACACATGTATTGACTTACTACACTGACAGCAAAAGCAATATCTGGCCTCGTATGGGATAAATAAATCAGCTTCCCAACCAGTCTCTAATATCTGTCTTTATCAATGGTTTCTTCTTTCTCCTTGTCTTCTTCTTCTTCAACTTCATTATCAGAGTTGTCTTCTCCTTCTAACTCCTCAGTGCCGCTTTTCTTAGGTGGCCTCTTCTTTTTCGAGACCACAATAGGAGTTTCCTTAGGTTTACAACCCAACATGCCAGTTTCCTTGAGAAGATCAAGTATATACTTCCTC